CTGTGCGGGAACTGGTAAGAAACGAAAACGAATATGGGGGAGGGGGGTGTGTGAATGAGGGAGCGGTGCGTGTCCCTCGAAAGGCTGCGAAGGTGCACGTTCGTAACGAATATACCGGGGGTTTTAGAAATGTTGGGGGTTTGTTTGTGCCTTGTCAAGTATCAGTGTCTTATAAAGCGGTTTTCCCAAGGGTTACACAAGTTTCTGACTTAGCAGGCAGCTAGACAGGAATCGGTGTTCAAATAGAAACGCAAACGTGATTTTCTGTGGGGTGAAGTACGTGATTCCAGGATTTTCTGTCGCAGCTGTGGCTCAGAAACAGAGCTGTAAAACCAGAAAGAAGAGGCAGGGACTGTTGTGGCAAAAAAAAATCAGTTATTTTTCTTTAGAAGCTCCAGTGTTGGTAGTACATTCACTGATAATGATGCTGTCTCAGAAGTTGCATCCTAAATACAAGCAACTATAGAAATTAACTTTTTTCTTTCTTTCTCAAAGAGCATTGGGATCCAAGCAGTTTCTTGCACCATCAGCCTAGTTTGCCAGCAGCGAGGGTGGGCAGGTCAGACCCTGCTGTTGGACGGGGTGCTTGGCCAGGCTGGTGGCTGCTTGGGATCTGGCAAGGGAGAAACCTGAACCTGTGGAGTTTTTCCTTTGTGACAGGAAAGGCACTAAGCGCTAGGTTCTAAAGTTAATTTGGGTGTTTTGAAGGCTAATTTCTTGTGTGCAAGGGGGAATGATACATCCAGCTAGAAATGATGCTGTCTGCTTGAGGCGGGAATAAGGGCTAAGCTCCTAGTGCCTCGGTTCTTTTTGCACCTTTTGTGTTTGTCAGCCTTGCGTCCTCCTCAAGATAGGAAAATGAGTATCTTAGAAAGGAGGTGAGTTGGGGAATTGTGGCTACAGAGTAACAAGGTTCCTGCTATCATCCCCTGAACAGATCTGGCCTAACAGGATCTGCTATTTATTTTTGCCAAGCAGAGCATAGTTTGATCTCTCATAGCCAAGTTATTTTTGGGGAAAAAACTTTTATCTTCTCAGATTAGTTTATTAACTTGAACCTGGTGATAACTTGTTTATGCTGCAAAATTTGTCTTTCACCTGAGGAAATCAATCCACCTTGACTTTATCCTAATGCAGTGTGAAAACTTTGGCCTTTGCATGCTATGTACATTGATATCCCAACTATAAAGGAACATTGAGGCCTGGTTGGGTTGCCTTTCTCTTTAGTTACTCTGTTCTCTAAACCAAGAATTCCTAGAATGCTTTCTTAGGATTTTTTATTTTATGAAAAACTGCTTGAACTTGTTGTCAGTGTATTTTCTGCAAAGTAACCTCTGTGACTTTCTCACAGCAAAAAGGATATTCCTCTTGCCAATTTCATTGTGCATGAAATCCACTGTAGCAGAAATATTGAAGTATGTCGCTACTGCAGTGAATCAATCCCAAAGTCTGAAATAAAGAACCATATGGAAACTGAACATGCGCAGGTGAGGAACAAATTCCTCCTCTAAAATTGCTGACTCTGTGGCAATTAATCTAATGAGGTCTGTTTATTGTAGGTTACCTGCAAGTGTCAGATGAAGATAGAAAAACGTCTCTTGGATGATCATGAGGTTGGTGGACTTTATATTATTAGACACTTGGAAGATACTCTACGGTATTTCCAAGCGCTGATTCTAGAGCCTTTTCAAAAGTACAGAATATGATTAACTGGACTTTTTTGATTCCTTTACCATTAAGCATTTAGACTGCTACAGTCGTTATGTGAGTTTTAATAACTCATTGTGTCCAAACAGACTTGTAAAATAAACTAAAATAGGACAGTGGGGTTTTCTGAGTTTGTGAATCCAGTTGGCGGCTGTCACAGGCAATCTTGTTATACATGTCAGTACCTTCCCTTCCAATGGGCTCATTTAAAGACAGCTCTGAAAGTGCCACACAGATCTGCTTATCAGTAAGGAAAAAAGGATTTTCTTTGAAGATGTGTCCAGTTCAAAATCCTGGAAGGATTATCCTGCATGTTTGTATGTAGTGCTTTCAGTTTTGTTTATAAAGCAAGTGATGATCTATTATTGCAGCATCTGCAGTTAGAACATGTATTTAATCCATATTTTAACCCCTTCTGAAGGGCAACATACCTGTCACTCAGTGTAGTGTTAAGAACGTATGCAAGCAATTCTTGTTGAGTAGTAAATGTGCTGTAAATCTGTTCCTTAATATAACACACACCAGTAGGGTTTTTAGCAGTACTCAATGAAATGTGATTAATACTGCATTTCAAGCTAAAAGCTAACTTCAAAAAAGCACTACATTAATCTGCTGTCCAGGCGTTAGAGATTTCAAATAAATCTTCTGACTGTTCATAGTCCTTCAGCTGGCATGTTTGTGACTACACAGCTTATACAATACGTTGTTCTTATATTTCTCGCCTAGTATCTTATTTCAGGCTGTTCTTTAGTGTAGCTTTGGATCTGGCTAAAGAAACAATAGACTGCTCAACTCTTAAGCAAACTGAGAACCTCTCTCCGCCTTCACCTCAGTCTTCCATCTGTGAAGTATAATCCCTCTTTCTCTTTTCAGGCGTCAGGGTGCCTTTTGCGTCCTGCTGTCTGCCAGTACTGTGACATACAGCTCACCTTCAACAAGCTCCAGGACCATGAAATTTACTGTGGAGCTAGAACTGAGACCTGTGGTGGGTGCGGTCGTAACATCATGGTGAAAGATCTAAAAGAACATCCTCAAATCTGTGGGCAAGAGGCGAAACAAGTAAGAGAAAGCAGAAGAGTGCCTCGCTTTGAGGATGAGGATGCAGATTTGCACACCCTTCGAGACATTAGAAACCGACTGAGATCAGGTAACTCTGCTGGGCTCCTGGGGAGAATGCCCACGGTGCTAGAAAAGCAGATTTACAGCAGGCGTGTAGAAGACAAAACACTTAAGGACATTAGCAGAAGAAATGTTTCAGCAGCACAAAGAACTCAAAGGCGAGGTAAGATGGAGAGAACAGTAATAACTGGCTTCTAATTTGACATTTGGCAGCTGGTCCAAGTACAAGATGTTGTAATTGCTTTATGTGAAAATACTGAATAATGAAAGTTCCAGGGGCACCATGGAATAGAACTGCAAGGGTATAAGCCAGCTAAAGAGAGGGCTGCTGAGGTTCCTGCGGGGAAAGCCCAGTCCACTGCCTGTTCCTTTGTCTCAATGTATTTAACTTAAAAATGAAATTGGAGTTGTTTGCTCACTGCAAATTCTGTCTGTTTTTGTTCAGCAGCTGCACTCCTCTTTACTTCAGTTAAGTAGAAGGGTAGGTAAGATCTGGGTGTGGGTTCACATGCGTAGTGCTGTGCGTTCCTGCAGTAACATCCTGTTTGGATGTAGCTGAGACGGTTATCCATGCCTCTGCTCTTTCCTGACCTTCTAATCTCTTACCTCCACGTGCAGAGGGTCCTCTGGGTTCACTGCTGAATCTGTTCTTTATGCTGTGGGCCACTCAGGGGATTTAACACTGCAGAATACTAAACAAAATCTTTGCTGTAGAAGATTTCCTGCCTTGTAGAGAAATAACTTCTATGCTTAGTTAATAAAACTCAATAATCTGGAGAGCTGTAACTTGTAGGCCACTTATACTAAGTTCCAAAGAGTGTTTGCAAGTAGTATTTTTATACACATGTAAGCTTTGTTTAAAATTCTCATGTAATCGGTGCAAATGAAATACCAGAGAGATTTGAAATAGGCCAGCACGGGGGAGGAGGACTTTGCCTGTCTTTAGGCATCGTCAGTTGAGTCTTAGTCCCTGTCCTGGAACCCTGGTTGTCTTTTCAGTGTAGCTTTCCTACCAGAAAACATTTCATGGTTTTCTTCTGTACACATACAATTCCCACTGTTGTCAAATGTAATGTCATTAAAAGGAATTTATTTTCCCATCAGTATACTGAAGAAACAAAGCTGAAGTGTTTCAGCCTTGTAAAAGGGGCGAGACTACAGAATATCAGTGGTACCTCGTTCATAGTGTAGGTCACAGAAGGTTCCTCGGGGACTTTGTAAAGCTCCCAAGAAGCTTAAGTTCAAGCTTTTGGAGTAAGAGGAATGACTTTCTCCTTTTTCACCTTTTTTGCTTGTTACAAACAAAAATAGGATGACTGTTTTCCTCTCCGCCTGAATTTGATACAGGTGTCCTTCTAGGCTTTGAAACGCTGACATGTGCACGAGTGAAACCCTCGTGGTTGAGCTAGTCTGATGTCCAGAAGGGAACTCCTTGCTGCAGATTTAATGTTCTCTCAAATGTATGATATTTATCTTTTGAAGAGGCTGAACTGGAGCAGTTGGAGAGGAATGAAGACACTCATTCTTCACTTGATGAGGAGTGGAACGCCGATTTAGACTATGCGTTGGCTCTTAGCCTACAAAATGAGAATGATCCTCACAATAATGCTGCAGCTGCAATTCCCAGTGACTTCTGGGAAAACTACTACACCAAAGGAACTGTGCCATCCGGCTGTCTTAGTGAAACAGACAAGTCAAGTATCTTCTCCTGTGACTCTTCAGTGCCTTTTAGCACATCAAACCATGCAAAAAGTAAGTATAAACGCTGTTGTGGTGGGTGTTTTTTTCCTTAAATTTTGAGGGAAGGGAGAAGGAAAGAGAGGATTCTTGGATTGGGAATTTCAAAGGTTATAGTCTCTTTGAGACTCCCTCTAAATCATTTTTAGGTCATTAATAAGCAGCAGATTAGACTCTCCATCAGTACCATTCTTCCTTTCTTAAATTTTATCTTCTGCTCCCTCAAAACTTAGCAATATTTGTGTTTAATGTAGTCTCTTTCAAAGAGGTATTACTAAAGCAAGACAGCAAGGGAAGAAGAAATAAAAGCTATAGTGAACCTCTGGCCTTGATATGTGGTAAGAGATCTGAAACAACTGAGAAGATGAGAACTTTCTTGTTGAAGTAAATGTGATAGGAAGGGAGGATCTGGGGGAGGCCTGAAGCACCAGCTTATTTCCAAAGGAGAAATGGTACTAAAGGGTTTATTGAAGACAGTAATAGGTGTTTTTATCAGATTATTCGACAGATCTTTGACCCCAAAACACTGTTCTCACGCAGGCTGATGTGAATTTGCTTATGTGCAATTCAGCAAGTGGGACTAGAGTAACTGTTTCTGTAGCATTTGCTCTGATTGCAGTCCTGTGGCGCAGAGCAGAGGTCTGTTGCTTAGGAATTTTGAAGAGAAGTCAATCCAACTGCATGGGACTTCTCTACAGCAGAGGATATAACCATTGCTTACTTTGCAGACGATGAGATGATCATGTTGCCGTGTGAATTTTGTGAGGACCTCTACCCTGCCGAGGATCTGATTCTCCACCAGGTGTAGTACTTTCTCATATCATGTCTAGGGGTTTGCAGTAAAGACTTTTTTCCGCTCCTGCGACTGAACAAGGGTGCAGCCTACACTCAGGGATACTGTGGGAGCTCTAGCAATTTTGTCTTTGCAAAGCATGGTTTTTAAAGTCCATCTGTGCTCAGCAGGAGAGCTAATTTTTCCATGTTATTTGCATAACAGACAGGTTGTAACCCAGCAAGTGCCTTTGCCTCATTCAGTAAAAGAAGTTCTTCTCCAAATCCACGAAAATACAATGGTCTGCGTGCTGTTGGATCCAGAAGCTGTCGGTTTCTCTTCTCGTCCCTGCCCCGAGCTGTCCAGGCAGAAGGAGAGATTATGATCCCATGTGAATTTTGTGGCATCCAGCTAGAAGAGGAGACAGTCTTTCATCATCAGGTACCAAACAGAACTTGCTCTGCTGTATCACATCCAGTTGGTCAAGATGTGTGCCAAGTCCTGTGGCCTCTTGTTGTGGCACGTTTCAGGAATTCAGGTGATTGTCCCCTGTGACAGATCTTCCTAAACAAAACCTCTTGGGTCCCATCTGAAATGTTGTGGTCTACTGAGCCTTTTGCTGAAAAGGAAGAATTATTTTGAAAGCTCGTGTAATGAAAACTGAACAAAAGGCCCTGAAATTGCACAATAAAAATGTTTGAGTTCTATATAAGTTATGTTGAAAGCAGGATGTATGAATCACAGCTGAGGTGGGAGAGGAGCACAGGCGTATGACCTGTAAGAGGAAGTAGGCAGCACAGATTGCAAATCTGGGAGCTGGAGAAATGCCTCGGGGGGTAGATACAAAGAGAGAGAGAAGGGGTAAGAGCGTGAATAAATCAGAAGCATGGCGTAAGAGAGAAGCAGTGGGTTTATGGAGTGATGGGTGCAGCAGAGTGCTTGCTAGGGTGTTCCCATTCTGCTGTACATCGCTGCCTGATACTTCGGATATGGACAGGACACCAGGTCTTTACTGCTGGAGCTGTTTCTGCTTTTCAGGAATGCTGGACAGATTCCATCTCTGTGCTTTAATGCTTCTGTACACCTGCAGAGCAGCTTTGGGGAGTGGTGACACCTATTACAGGCACATTATGAAAGGGCAGAGCGTGCTCATTTTCTGTGTCGCAGCTGCTGAAGGAATGGAGAAGTTAACAGTTCTTACAGCCCTAACTAACAACCTCGGGAAGCTGTGTTTTGTTGGTTTGTTTTTCTGGGCCTTTCCTCTCCTTGCTGACAGTAAATTCAGTATTATTAGAAATGAGATCTGATAAAATTTCATAGCTTATCCTTTGCTAAGTAGTCCTGCTTGACGCTAAGAAGTCCCATCCACGTCCTATTACAGTTGGCTATAGGAAGATGGCTCTTTTTTTTCTCTCAGAAAATGCAGAATGCAAAGACTGCTTTATCTACCAGCTTCTAATATTTCTGGTGACATTTGTGTATGGTAGTCAGGTCTTGTTAAGAATTAAGTGACAGGACATGAGTTACCACTATAGTTTTTTGTTTGCAAGCCACTAGAAGTACACCTTGTATTTAAAGTTTTGTGTTCCAGGTGGCATTCCCGCTATCTCACAAGGGTAACAAATGTTTTATTTTCTAGTCCTTATTTTTGTGTCCTGTGGGTTTCTGTCTTTGCGTTTTAGTGTTCTTGATGTACTTAACCTGCAGAAAAACAGGACTTCATAGCAAGGATAGCCAACAGGGGCACTGCTGTGGGCAGCATGACTTGGAAATCACTTTTAACTTGATTTTTGTCCTTGAATTTGTTTTTTATCACGGCATCGATACCAGGTTGATATCAGGAACTTGGTCAGAATTATTCCTAAGCTCTGTGAAAGAGAAAATGAGGGTGTCGACAAGCCAGTATCTGCCTCTTCCTGAACACACTTCCCCGCTAACCTGGATCTTTCTGAGGGGTGTTGCTCTGCAGTGTTTTTACAGGAATGAGTCTGAACAAGCTGTCCTTTAACCACTCCAATGTATGTTTGGCTTTAGCACCACTGTGATCTGCGCCCAGCCAGCCCCGCAGCCAGCTCCCCACCTCGGCAGCTGCTGTCTCCTCAAGCCAACAGAGAGAGAAGAGAAGCACCAGAGCTGGCTCTCAGACGGATCAGGCATCAAGGTGTGGGCAAAACACAGACTTACGCAAACTCCTTTCCTTTACATTTGTAAAGTGCATATTCCACGCAGAACAGATGTCGTTACCCTGTTCCGTCTCTAAAATTTAAAAAATCTTTGATCCCCTACCATTGGTCTAGTTTTACACGAGAAAGATTAAATCACTGCAACATGTTCTCCTCAGAGATCTTGGTTTATGAAGCCCTGTGCTGCTGGAGTGGAAATCAGGTCTAGTTTTATTGTCATCTGAACGGTCTCATGCTGCATTACTGTTCCAATTAAGCGCTGTATTCCTGTTCTCTCAGGAGATGTTTCTCCTCGGCGCATAGAAGGCTTTGGGCAGCAGAGGCTCAGCAATGCTGCACGAGGGACCAAGTCACTGAATAATGTGGCAAACGCCAGGAACACACCCTTGTCCTCTTCAATGAGAGCCAACAATGCTCCTGACGCGAGAGGGAAGCCCAGGAAGGTGGCTGGCAACGAGGGAAGGCCAAAGAACAGAGGTGGGAGCGAAACTGCAGATGGGACAACGCCACGTGCAAGACCTACTCAGAACCTTCATTCAGAAGCCTTCACCTCCAGCTTCTCCAGAACCTCTGCAACCCAGCTGAGGTAACGCCTCCCCCTTCCGTTTCAAGCAGCCGCGTGGGGCCTGCCCTGAAGGGCGAGGGATCTCTGGCACTGTAGGAGCAAGTTTTGCTCTGCTGAAAGCCGGGGTGCAGCCTTAGGCCTGGCACATTCTGATCTTCAGCTGGCAGCAACCCCACCGCAGCAGTAGGGACAGATCCCTTCCTTACGGTGCCAGCCTGGATTCCCTCATATTTGCCTGTGGCTGAAAGGGTTTCACTCAGTGTAATTGGGCTGGTGCTTATCTGCGTTTCAAACAGCAAATTGACTTTTATATCAAAATTGAACGGATGAAACCCTCACGGGGAGAAAATGTAGAATAACGCCTTGTTCTCTGTCCAGTGCAGCGCTCTCAGCTGAGCTGTTCTCTTTGCTGTTGGAATAGGGTCTAGTTCTTCGGCTACAAAAATAACTGGGTCGGGGTTCAGGAGAAGCAGGAAGGGCCCAGCAATGGGTCCCTGGTGTGAAGGACCTGTGTTTATTCAGCCATAAGAGCACCAAAAGGGGTAGGCTTGCTTCCTCTGAGTGTCCCCGTTCTTTTCCACAGCACCAGCAATGCCGGAGGAAGGAGCCTGGGGCTGTCGCACACTCCTGTCAGCTTCAGGCGCAGGAACACAAAGGTAAGACCGCTGAGGCAGAGCAGGATCGCGGTGCTTCGCTCTGTGCTCAGGTGAGGACTAGAGGCCTCTGTCTCCGAACAGTTCAACCAGCAGCGCTCCAGCCTCTTGCTGTAGGATGTTTTAAAGTGCCAGGGGCAAGTGCTGCTGGCTTGCTGCATGCTTGGCTCGTCCTGCAAGTGAGACGGGTTGGGAAGAGAGGGCAGTGCCTGGCTGTCACCTCCCCATGGTGGCTTCACCAGGACGAGGAGCTTGTTTTACAGTCCTTCCAGCTTCAGTGAGGTTCTTATCACTTGCTTTTTATCAAGTACTCTTTGAAAGCAGCATTTGTACTTTCTTCTTCCCTCCCCTTTAGGCAAAAGCCCAGAGCCCAGCATCTGATTATCCAGAGCAGAAGTGATCCACCGCTGAGAAAAAAAATGTTTAGCACTCTACACACTCTTACTATGCACTATAACAGTTATCTGAGCGCAAGTAAATTCCTATATCGCTATGTTATTGAAAACTTTCTTTGAATTTAAATTTTAAAGGCAGTGATTGTTTTATATATATATATATATGTATTTTTAATTTGAGAGACTACAGGTTTTTCCTTCTGTGATCTATGCTAGCACCCTCCCATGACAGCACCCACCCTTCTGTCTTGGGAACCCCCCGGGTTATGTTCTGTACTGGCTCTTTGTGACACCCAGCGGAAGAGAATTTTTGACATACTGATCTTCACACATGTCCTGCTGCGCTGGGGCCAGTTTCTTGTTCTCAAGACAGCACCGACAGGTGAAAATCAAAAGCTGTTGGCCAGGAGGCTGCTGGGGAGGAGGGGGGGAGCACCCTGTGCTGCCCAGGCCCTTCGGACACAGAGAGGGATGACGAGGGGCAGGGGATAAGCTCTAAGCCCAGGGCATAAACTCTAAGCCCAGGGCTATGTCATAAAATGCTTTTTAATGCTGTCTTAGTCCATGCTTTTTAAATTCCTTGTAATAAAATTTATCTAATGATGTCCCAAAACTATTGTGCGGTAAGAATCTATTCCATGAAGTGATGTGGGATCACAAACACCCTTTGAGGGCAGGAGTTTGTCACCCCACACCTCGCGTGGCCCCTGGGCAAAGGGGTGGCTCTGGGACTCTGCATTCCCCTGTTACTACCTGCAGTAGTGGGTCTGTGAATTCACACCCCTCGTGCTCTGGCCCAGCCTTAGGACCTGGTACTGCAGAAGCTGGAGCAGGCAGGTCTCAGCAGCCTCGTTAACGGGGTGCAGGGTAATTAGCCACTCACCCTGCGAGGGCAAGGCTGGTACGGTGACCTCGTCTCTGCTGCCAGCGCTGTCCCCCAGGCTGCTAATGATCACTGAAGGGATCTTGGTTCTAAAAATAAAGACATTTTACGGACGCTTCCACCAAATGTAAGCGTTTATTTATACAAGAAAAGCAGAATAATGGTATTTAAAAACAGGTGGCAACCAACCTTGCGATGGCGTTTCTGGGGAAAGCTGCTCTGGCAAGGTGAGGGAAGCTAAGCTGGCTCCTGGGGTTTATGCAGGGTAACAGGGCGCCTTGTTCAGAAATCATGAGTATGAAAAATAACTAACTACCAAGCTGACAACGTGGCTGAGGTTGCATTATTCCTCAGGCGTGAGAAATACTGCGCTTTCTCCGTTGAGAGAAATATTAGCATTGTGCTTGCTTTCCCTTTCATACAAAATATTTACATTTCTGTTCCGAGTAAATAGAAATTACAGTGTACTAACCCATAGAAGTGGGACTTAAAAGCAGAGAACCTGCAACTTCATTTCTAGCAGTTCTAATCCTCCGCGTCAATGAAGCTTCAGCAGTGGAGGAATTTAATTCTTTCCAGCCCCAAATAAGGACACGATACATCTCAAGGGATGGTAAGAATCTCCTTTATGCAAGTGTACACGGTATGGCCAAGAGCACTTACAGGTTAATGCTGTGTACGGCACCGAGATGGACACACACCAAGCTAGAACTAATACCCAGCTCCAGAGTTTTTCCATTGTTTAGTATAATTTACATTCTGAATGAGTATATATTAAAAAAAAAAATCACAAACCCATCTTTCCTTTGACAAACAAGCCTGTTACAGACAATGTCAAGTTCATTTAAAGCACGAGGAAGTAATGATGATTAGAAAAGGTTTAATTAAAAGGCCATGTGAGCTACAGTTGAACAACTGCAGCACTTCCTTCTTTGTAATGTAAAAAAAAAAAAAAAAAAAAGCCCCCAAACCCCACCACGACTCTCTCTTGCAGGGCTCAGACCATTCTTCAGAAAAAAACCCGAAGTCAGTGAAGGTTATTTATTGGTGTGACATGTTTCCTGTATAAGAAGCTTCATTTACACAGCAAGGTGTAAACAGCATTGACTAAAAGTTTGTTATTTGTAATCATAAATAATTAATTGTAATAAATACGTATCAAGTAACTTTACAGCACACTTTTCCGGGCCAAGATGCAGATATGTTCCACGCAAATGTGCTCTCTGGAAGGAGAAGAAAGACATTAGCAGCAGTTTCTTACTCACAGCTGTGATCAGAGCCTTGGGAACCGCTGGCACTCCGAGCGCTCCAGCCCCGCGAGCGAGGTACGTGACTGTGCTGCGAGTCCGCCCCGAGCACCGCGGGCTTGAAATGGGGATTTAAACCCAACAGGAACCCACTGTCCAGTGCCAGAAACCCCAACTGTGGCATTGGCAGCAGCGGCAGTTCTGCCGTGAAATTCAATGGACATTCCTCACGTTTCCTGCAGCACCTGGTTGGGAACACGTGTCCCAGGTGGGACTGAACCGGCTCCGAGCCGCTCCTCCTGCTTAGTTTCCCTTGGTCTTTGTAAACTCCACATGTTTGCGCTTACTCCCAGTGATTTCTCAGCTACATATATGCTTCTACCAGGAAATGGACAAGATTTCAAGAGTAAATATTCTTCCTATGTGTGTCTGTTCCCTTGAGAGGGCAACGGGAGGGGAACAGCTTTCCGAACCACAGGGCTGGAGACTCTGAATGCCAACAACTATCTCTACAAGTGGTGCACACACGGTTTCCATTCGCTCACAGAAGAACAAGAATATACACACGTGTTCAGGCTTTTCTCTCTTACTCACATCTTCCAAGTACCACACACTCGTATTCTCAGTCCCAATATTCACAATAATATACAATAAATACAGATTTTTCAATTCCCATTACCACTGACAAGCCCGATTAGTGTACGCCGTCTTCTCAAGAGACATAAAATACCAACCTGAAAGTACAAGGACACACACCCCATCGCAGACCTGTCGCGTGGCTGACGTGCGCTCAGCACAGCGGAAGGAAAACAACGTGTAGCTCAGTACTGGCACTTGAGTTACAGATAGTACGGAGCCCAATCGCTTAGCAGTGCCGTCAGCAGGTTCTCTCGGTTCTCCAGCACGCAGGGAGCTCTCGTTTGTGTCGGTTCAAGGATGAACAAAGCAACGCCGTGCTTTGAACCGCACCCGGTGCAGGGCAACCGCTTTGATACCAGGAAAGGAAGATAAAGTTGATGAGCTGTTTTGAAACCACCCCCGCACGTGTTTCACAACATACAGAAGTTGAACCTGGAGAACTGTTCTCCCTCCATAGTCTGTTGTTCATCTTTCCATAGAAAATAGAAGCTTTATCTTCAAACGCGTTAACTGGGTGCCTTCCCCCACCTCGTTCTCCTTCTGGGTGTAACGTTTCGAGGATAATTTGGTCTTCGGTCCAAGATCATTTTTGAGTACAAAAATTTAGTTACAGGTGTTCAGCCACACCGATTATTCTGAAAGTTTGTTCGGTAATAGGATAAAGTCCCAGATGATGACTTGAACTGTGGGATTTTACCCCATATGGAGAGAAGCCATTTTGTTTCTGCTAATATTTGAACTACAAGAAATTATTTTGTTACTAAGCAAAGCAGACATTCAAGAACATCGAGGGCAAGAACCCAAGTGAATTATGGCCCTTTCACTGTTCTCTCAATTATAAACCTTCCTAATCAAAAGCGTCTCCCAGAAACCCCAAATCAATTGTAGGAGCTGCCCATGCGCTTGCTTATCATTTGGAAAGTTAGAAGAAAATGGTGGAAACGTCAACATGTAGTTTGGCAGCACATCTTCTGCTCTAAAACTCAAACAAGTGCTACAAATTCTCCACATCCTCTGCCTGCGACAGAAGAGGGACCGTGCTCCAGTCCTGCAGGTGCCCAGCAGCAATTCCCTCCCCACACCCAAATCTTTCCCTTTTGTACTCAAAAATGTTCCAGGGGAGAGCGATCCACAAGCCTTCACCTCTGAGTGCTCCCCAACTCGGAATGCCCTCACTCCTGTGGTGGTTGCATGGGCAATATCATTCTAAGTTACAAAATTAGAAATGTACATGTTTGAAGGTTTTCTCAAAATTAAATTATACACAAACCGGTCTTTACTAAACTATCCTACAAATATTCCACAAACAAGGCAGCAAAATAACCAGTCCACCACGAAGTCTACAAATACAAAACGTAAGTCTTCCAGTAATTATCGTAATGGGAACAAAAGTTCAGAAAATAAATTAACCTCCAGCTCATCACACAGTGGTACAGGAGGTGTTTGTACGCAAGTCGAAGGGTTTCCAATGTCAGCAGTCACCAAACAATCCGGACAGTCACCTCGGGGCAGCCGTGCTCAGCCGCTGAGCGGATCCTCCCGGTAGTGGATAGCGTATCGCAGTTTCTCCAGCATGATGTCCAGTGAGGAGTACTGCGGGAGCTTGATCATGAACATGCACGTTTCCACACGGATGTACCGGGAGTCCGGAGAACCTGCGGGGAAGAAGCACCAAAGGGTTTGAACGTGCTCTCCGCTCTTCACCTCCTTCTCCAGGAGCAGCCTTCCCCACACCCATACTAACAAATTCCTGCCTGTCGTGTGTCTCCTGAACCCCAAATCCTGCTGTGCTTGTCCATCAGTTCTGAGGCTGACATTTTTCCAACAGGTCAATCATTTTAAAAGCATACGAGACAATTATTATACAAAGTCTCTTATTCTCTAGAAGACAATGTTGTAAGTAGTTAAAAGTTCATTTAAAATTTTCTTTTTACATGGTTTAAACCCAGGTTCACTCTCTTCTTATCTACAGCCATAACCACCTGCCTCTCTCTTGTCATTCTTTCTGCAGTAAATACATGTTTAAATTTGAAAAAGGGGAATCGAAAGCTCGAGCCACGATGCGAGCAGAAGGGATTTTCTTTGCCTTAGGAGGCAGAGGGCAAACACACCTGCGGCCCCATCCGGGGGAGCGATTTTCATGGGGTACGGCGGGACGTGGGCAGTGTCGGGGCCTCCGTCTTTGCAGGGACACGTGAAGGGGATCCGCTCCTGGTTACAGGCAAACTTGATGAACTTGCAGAGCTCCTCCTGAGTGAACATCTCCAGTGCGCTCCAGAAGAACTCGATGTGCTGATCGGTCTCCATCAGGCCCACCTGGTACATGGTGTGTGCCTGGGAAAGGAAAGCGAGACGTCTGCTGATGCTGTCTTCTCCCCCCATACATGTTCCCCACTTACGAGGACAGAAGGGGGGAGTAACTACACCTTCTCCCCCAGATTCCTGCCTTTTCAAAGCGATTAGGAAATCCAGCCACGGTAGAGTGTTAATATCCGTGGTTTTCTGTCTTTTTAGCCCATCAGCTCCTGTACCAGGCTTGGCTCGGTGTGTTCCCCGTATGTTGCTGTTTTGTTTAACACACAGGACTGGGGCAATTCAGCATTGCTGCTGTTTAGGGACAACACAAACCGACGCTAACACCCATATCTGAGAATATTCTGCAACTTCTCACACAAGAGAACTGTTCTTTTTATGGCATAATTCTTATGGCAATGAAATTAAAGTATTTAGGACCAGAAGTTGCCTGTTACGGATTGATTTTAGATCTTCAGAAGTTATTTGCAATTCAGAATAGGGACAATGGCTCTTTCAGCCCTTGGCTCAAGTGGCAAATATTAAATAAAGCTGAATAAATGGAGAGAGATTTAAAATATCATGTTAAAAAGTAAATTCATTATTCTTCTCTGGACAAGCCCCACTGCTATTATTTCCTGAATCCAGTAAAATCTCAAAGAACCTCCTTGGGGGGACAAAGGGGATGTCCAAGCCCAGGCCAGTGCTCCGTACGGACCACCCTGGCTGTATCCCAAGCAGAAGGTTCTCCTCTAACACCTTCCCTGGGGGAGGATCCTCTCCTCCATGTGTCAGACGGATAAGCTTTGCCAAAGCAGCCGCGGTTCTTCCCACCTTGAGGAACTCCAGGTTGATGTACGGCAGCCCGCACGTCCTCAGCTCCATCTCCAGAGGCGTCAGCATGGTCAGGAGCTGCAGGGGGATGATGGACCCCAGCCCGGCACGCACGGCAGTCATGCACTCTGGGGTCTGCAGCTCACGCATCCTCAGGCTCCGGATCGCTGCTGAGTACACGTCCTTGTTCTCCCACCTGCGAGGGCAGAGATTCCGGACAAAAAAGGAGAGTGTGTGAGAGCCCTCGAGCCCTGCCCCAGAGCACTACACACAGAAGGGTTTTATGGGGCGATTCCGCTTTTGGAGAAGCGCAAGCATTAAGCTGTTTGAATTCTGATGCTTCCCAATTTAATTCCACTTTCCTCAGCCTCCTCCTCTCCTTGCCCATGTGTCACTGGCCTCCTAATTGTGGGTGTGCGCTGAAGCCAGCACTCAGCTATCAGCTCCGCTCCTCAGCTGTCTGTTTCTTACAGAACAAACGTCAGGAGACAGCAGGAACTTGGCATCACTGGTGCTAACAGATGTGAAGCTTTCCCAGATCATTCCAGCCTCCAGCTCGTTACCAAAGCATCTCTGGAGAGCCTGGGGCTTGGAAAATGATTCCAGAGATGCTTCTTTCCCACGTAACCCAGCGCAACGTCCTGCCAAGGAGGCTGTCACTTACCCCACGGGAACGTGCCGGCCTCGGGGACAGAGCTCCACCTCCTCCCCCGTCATGGTCAGGTAGGTGAATTTGCAGCACGGCTTGTTCGGACAGTCCGGGCTCTCTGTTGCGAGATGCTGAGAAGCAATTTCTGCACACAGAGCTTCCAGTTCTGTCTCATCATTTATCTGTCACGAAACACAAGGCGAGTATCCAGTGACCAGCATGTCGAACTGTGTCATTCTTGTGACTCACTGAAGGTACCACCACAACGTACAGCGTGCTCTCCACTCATTCCGTCCTCTGGAGACGTCCCGGACACTGCAAGCCCGTAATTGCTCTGGTTTGGCAGTGCTGAGTTCCACTAAACATTTCAGAAACCTCAACTCCACCGTGCCTGGTAGCAGAGGAGACTGAGCAGCTTTTCTAGGACATCAGGATGCAAAATCCCGCACCCAAGATGCGTCAAAACGACCGGCTCACACGAAAAACATCAGCAGGCTGCGAAGCTAACCTACCACTGAGGGCAGGCAGTGACGTTAGCAGCCACTAGAACAACATTCTTGTGGGGGAAACCTGGAAAAAAAGGAGGGAAGAGAACAAGGGACTTACGTTTTCAAATTTTTTGACATAGTTGTAGGTGAGGATGTCAGCTTCCTGGAGATCACCGTCAGGATCCAGCGGCTCTCCTACGAGCGTCTTCCAGAAGGAGGGCAGGAGGTCAAGTGGCAGAGGAACGTCTGCTCGGATCGCAATCCCCAAGAGCTGCCCAAAGAAATGGAACAACTGCTCCTCCGCATAGGTTATAGGGCTGGGCGTCAAAATGTACTTCCCCTTTAGGAAAAAAGAATAACAAAACAGAATAAAGCACCCAAACCGGCGTTTAACAATGGATGCAAACGCTGCCGGTCCACAAGTGAACAGGCTTGTGAAAACACATGCATCCAGAAAGAGCAAAGCACTTCATTCCATTTATCGAGATATCCCACCTTATTCTTATTGACTGCCGAGCTGGGGCACAGCAGGAGAAGGGAGAGCGAGGAGCTCTGTAATTCTTTACAGACTTGCCAAAGGAAGTGGCGGAAAGATCCACCTGAAAAAGAGAGAAGTGAAATAATGAAACAGCCTCGGAGGCTTGTCACCGCCGCCTTTTAACCGAGAATTCACCGTTCTCCTTGAAATCATGTTTGGAGCCTTAGGTTACACACGGAACCTCTCTGCCGGCACAGGTACGCGGCTTTAACAAGCGTGGGGGCGATGCCAGCCTACTATTCACACGCAAGTCCACATTTAAATAGTTCAGTTATGTGCAAAAAATATTCATTGACTTGCTTCCTCCTGAATTCCTAAGCGCCGCGTTGTCTTCCAGCGCTCTGTACGACTAGCACCACCATTTGTTACAGCACTTGGCCCGCAAATGGAATTCATTACTGGATTAGAAGATGAACGGCGCTGTCTTCACAACAACAGAGCGCGTCCACAGCTAAAAGCAGCGAGGCGAAGCATCAGGAATCACTGCAGATGCCGAGCTGTGGACATCACATTTATCTCTTTATGGATGCTGTCAATAACCAGCACAGGCCTCCAGAAGAAAGGAATTCCCCTCGAGAGAAAGCATCAAGGAGCCTTTTGCACTCCTTTGCACTTAACAGGAGCACAGTCAGGCACGCGTAGTTCCTGCTGTATTCGCTGAAATATGAAAATCAACCACCTGGCTTATGTAATTCCTCGAGGCTTTGTTCTTGTCCATCTGTGGGACACAAACACCACAAAGGTGATGCTGCTCCTTACAGTAACGTGAGCCACATCCCGGGGAAAGCCTGGACTCCACCCGGAGTCAGTTCTCACGACTGCACCCAATGTCACCCACGCTGGGCGGCAACTTACTTGTTCCATGAACCTCCTCCCCCGTGAAGCGGATGTTGAAGGCGTAGGTAGGGTCTCCGCCGCTGGCCAGTTTAACGCAGAGCTGCGAGGACGGCACACAGGCCAGCTGTCTGGCTGCCTGGCAGAAATAGGAATTTTCCGAAGAACGGATCTCCCCTATTTAAAAACAAAAGATAAAAATCAAATCCCCATCCTCGAGAGTATTTGGCATTAATAAGCATCTGAACTTGGTTAAAACAGATCTGACTTGTGTCAAGGCACGGATTAAAGTGAATTTTGAAGAGGACAAGTGTTTCCCATACCTCCAACTATTTCCAAGGGATCCAGGGTGATTTCTGGGGCTGCATGATCAGCAGTTCTTTGGACGGTGGCATTCAGCACTCTGTTCATTACAGTTACTTTTGTGTCATAGAAGATTAAACCTAAATAAAGAAACATTTCAGTAGAGTTAATCTATCTCTCTACAGTCTTATTTTCTGAAATTCTCTAATGGACAACAGTAGAGTAACAATTTCATCTTCATGAGGCAGGTAAGAGATGGAAAATTTGCCTCTTCAACTTTTTTGGAAGTATTTGCTACTAATGTTTACTGCAAGAAGTACAACGAGTTAGAACACTGCTGAACACAATTCCAATGTTACATAAATAGATCCCAGCCGCTCCAGCAGCATCTCTGTAAATCAGAAACATTTTGCCAAATAGCTTTCAGAAGTCCAAGATGTTTTCACAGTAATGCTAGAGGCAAGAAAACATGATAAAAAAAATCGGGCTGTCATACTGCACCGTGAATAGAGGCTCTAGAAAGACAAAATCTCTGAACATTCCTCACTTCCCCATACTGGGTTCACAGGGTTTTGTTTTTCTTAGCTAGGGGAAATACAGAAGCCAACCGGTGACTTCTGTGTCTCCTCCTTCTTCAGAAGAAAGTAAGTTTGGGAAATGCAATGTCCTAAATCTTGGGTTTGTTTGGTGTCTAACGGAGGCTTGTAAAACTATTTTCTTGATCTCTCTGTAATTCAACAACTTCAATGACAACAAGGATGCCAACATGTCCCAGGTCTTTCACCTGATCTGTTGCTTGCTGACCAACCGACAATTTTAATTTACGGATACCCCCAAGAAGATAAAGACAGCCACGGACAGAAAAGATGAGCCAGCTCCCTCCACAGTCCAGAGAGGTGCACAGTGGCTCTTAACTACTTGGAAGAATAATCCCCTCCTCACCTCTAAACCTCGCCTGACCACGTTCCTGAAAAACTGACCTTTGGCCTCTTGCAGCAGCGCAGCAATGCTATTCGTGTACATCTCCGTCTGCCGAAGCTCCACCAGCGGCAAGAAAAATGTCTCCAACGTTGTGTTGAGAGACTGAAGCAGTGCAAACCGTAGGCGCAGACTTTCGACGGGAACATCTGCAGTGGGAAACATCCAGTCAGAGAGATCAAGTGACTCCCCACCTCCTGCGAAACTCCATCTTCCCAGCAGGTTCAGTCCAGGAGCCCCCGCTAAAGCAGCCTGTCCTCATCCCCGCACACCAACAGGGCTGAAGATGCAAGAACAGCCGTGATCTGTGACGTTCCTTCCTGGGTCTCGAGTCTCTGGGTGTCTGAGTCACACCCCGGCACACGCCAGGAGAGAGCAGACCTGGCTCCAGTGCTCCCCTCGGGCCATGAGGTTCCGACCTGCCACCTCCCAAGGTCCCAGCTGCCAGGGCGACAGCCAGCTCACTCAGGAGCGCCCAGCTGAAGAAAGCCTCTATGCAAACAATCGATACGTACTCAACAGACAGGAAATCCTGGGATCTGCTGCATCAGCTGGATCCAAATAAACTTCATGGGGATGGAGCCGTGCTGGTGTAATTGCGAGGTGACGGCAGAGCCGGTTAATATACTGGACCAGGGCTACGTCCATCTCCAGGGACCATTTCCGGGACGCTTTCTGAGCGTGTCTCGCATCAATGCAGGCACACCTGAAAGGTAAAAGGCACAAAGACCTGCTGAAAATGGAAGTGCAATGCTGCTTCCTAAGAGCCCGCTGAGCACACCACCAGGTAGCTTGTTCTGCTTCTCTCCCATTTTCTTAAGCAGAGCTGCTTTATTAAAAAATTCCAGTTTGAGAGTAAGAACTGATTTATTACTTAATAACAGTGAGGCAAGGTGGGTGATAAGAAAAAAAAAAAAAAAAAAAAAAAGAAAGGAACTAGGTACTAAGCTTCCTTATTTTGCTAACTTCTTTATTCTTCATATCTGGAGCAGATCTAGGGGAAGGGGATGTTGCAATTAGCCTGTGGCTTGTCACAGGGTGATAAGGAGGACGCATTTCAGGGACTTTCTTCCTGTACAGTACAAACAAGGAAGTAACCGCTCCCTCTTCTACACTCCTACTGACCCAGCAGCAACGCTGCCAGTTTAAACAATTACCCAGAGCACAGAACAGAAAGCTGTTGTGGGAGGAAACCAGAGGCAGCCAGATGGATCTCCAGTTCTCACCAGGCCAATTTATCATCCAGTTTGGAAGCTGTGATCTGCTACATCATTTTGTTAGCTATGTTGTACGCAAGAAAGTCAGGAACCTGCATTCTGACAGCAGAGAGACTCTTTTAAAGCACGTTTTAAGAAAACAACCAAAAATTTTCTCTACAGGCCTTGCAGCCATGGATACAAGTTTGTGTGCTACTAACACACCAGTTAAAGCTGCTTGGAACACTTGGGATCAAGGTTTTTTTAAAGTAAGCACAATTAATCAGCATCACCTTTACAAGAAAATTTGTAAAATTTACCTTTCAAAATGTAGATCATATCCACAGGACAGAATAGCTCTCCACACACTACGGATATCCTGTTTAGATCGGTCAACCACAAATCTGTGAAATCCGTCCAGCGTCAAGTACTTCTCCTCAGGAGCTGACAGCAAAGATACGACCATCAAATAGTTAATGGCTTACTATAAAATCTTCACATGACAGAGGAAAACACTCAGTGTAAATGGCTGCTACCTGCCAGCCTCCGCCTGGTTCTATCCATCCCACCGTTAGCTATTGAGGCATCTGAAGCTTCTCTTTGATCCAATTTTCCTCGTGTAACTTAATTATTTTTTCCATGGAAGTTGAGAAAGTTGACTTAAACCCACCTAGTTCAACCCCACCCCAGCCCAATCCCCCACTGCACAAAACCAGCCTTGACACCGCACCTCTGAGGAGGTCAGGTCTACCCAGCACGTTCACACGGCCCACACACACTGGTGCGTGAATTCCACGAGCACGGTTTGCTCTCACGTTGGTGAGTCCAGATTTACAGATACACAAACAAAAGCAGCATTTTAAAATCATTATGTGAAAGCATTAAGTCAGCTTCATTAAGACAAACCAAATCTATCCTGACATCATATAAGCACGTCAATACAAAAAAAGTATTTATTTTCTACCGTGGAATGTTACAGAAAAATTCTATACAGCCGCTACCTTCCTGTTTCTTTGTGGGAGACTTTTCCGGGTCCTTCTCTTCGGGTTTACTCTTCTCAGGAGATTTGGGCTTTACAGTAGGTTTCTTCTCACTTAAGGCTGTTCGGCTAAGGGACAAAGTGGATGTTAGGATGGAAGTTTTCTTTTGTCTGTCCAAGAAACCAAAACATACCTTAAAGGTCTTCTATAATCTCAAAGTCACATTCCACCTTTCCAATTTGTACACAGAAATACAGAGGGAGGGGGAATAAAAATCTGGATTCCTAAAGAGAAATCAAATGTTTCGCAACTGTCCAAAGGCTGAAGACACCAACCTGACGCTATTGAGCATTGACTTCTCCTTCGTAGGCGGTTTAGTAACTGCGCGCTTGGTGCTCACAACTTTCACGGGATGCTGTTCTTTGCCCGCCTTGTTGTACTTGCTCTTGTCAAATTTTGGCTTGGGCACGCCGTATTTCCTTAAAATCTTCCAACACAGAAAGCGAATGATTACACAATGCTTTCAAGTTACACAAAAAGATGCTGAAAATAGTTTTGAAAGCACTACCTGAGTGAGCTGGTCCTCGAGCACCTTCTTTGGAGGGCGGACATTTGTGAAGAACACATGAAGAAGGTTTCCAGGAGTCTGAGAATTTATCTGCTCTTTGCTGAGATAGATATCAGCAACCTTAATGGGCTTCGCAGGAGTTAGGCTCAGCATTTGCTCAGAATGGACGCAGCTTTTAAATATTTCTGTGAGGACTTCCCGAGCACCTGGGACCAATTTCTCACCTATTTAAAAAAAAAAAGCAATATGGTATAAAACACCATGACAACTGTTTAGAATTTGAAATGTGAGAAAACATTTTGCATTCAGCTAAAAATATTGCATCACATGCCACTTGCCCTGAGAGATAAAATCACTTAGAAACACTCTACCAGCAGACCTGCCCTTCCTGCACACTAACACCCCATTTACGAGAGAGAACCGAATGCCTCCTCCTGTTTGGTCACATGCTGTGATTATTATTTGAGTGACTGTAGTGACAATGAAAAAAGTAGATTATTTATGATGCCAGTGTAAAAATTATGTTGTGTAAGTACACACTGACACCTATCAAACGAATTAGCAGTCAACTGAGCTTCCTCCAAGTGTTATCATCCTCCCCCGTCCCCTGGTTCAGGATTCTGGCCCATTCCAGGCGTATTAGGGTCTGTAGAGCTCTCATGTTGTAGAGAACATAAATTACTCGCTCTGCTACTTGAACAGTGTCTACTCTAAAATTATGCTCTGTCTCATTATGGTAAATGATTACAGTGGCTATTTTCTGAAAAAAGTCACTAAACAACCCAGTCAGTTTTTTGGGTTGGTGGGGAGCTGTTTGTGGTTTTTCTTGGGTTTTTTCGTTGGTTGGCTGTTGGTGTTTGTTTTGTTTTGTTTTTCTATGAGGACAGTTGAGCAATGTTCAGGTTGCAAACAGCTTCTTGCCAACTGATGAGAGGGCGGAAACTTGCTTTGAAATTACTTCCAGGCTCCCTCTCGCTGTCACCCATCGGTTAGTGAGTCATACTGACTTTACACCAGCATGGAGACTCTGACCCCTTATGTCCCCAAAACTGCACAAGCGAGATATTTGCCAAGATGAAAACCACGTACCCTTTATGGACTTATCATTGAAATAATCTTCTAGTGCTGGGCTCCCTTGTGTGTCGAAGAGACTCTGATTTACAGTAGAAACAGTTAAAATCTCTTCTGTTGACATTTCCATCAGTTCGTCTTCACCATCCAGACTTGACAAACCAATGAGATCACTACTGTTGAACAGGCTGGCTCGGATTTTCTCTATTTTAGCTCTGGACCTTATCTGTACAAATAATGACATCAGTTAACAGCAATTCTGACAAAACAAATTGACTTCCATTCATAGGAACCTGGGTCTTAAGCCTTCTCCCCTCCCCATGCAGATAATCACCGTTGCATCTCTTTTAACATTCTTCTACATCCAAGATCTGATACCAGAATTCAGGTTCAGCCTAGAAACATCCTTTCTAAGAACATCTGGCCACTGAAATCACCAGGCTGCGACTCAGTCGGGCACAGCTCTGAACCAGCTATTCCCCTGCTTAGTCTGGAGACAGCCCTTAGAAATATCAGACAAGCAGCTGAACGTTTCCGAGAGGTAACCTCTCGTTATTTGCAACTCTGCTGTCCTTGCTTCAGTTCTCCGTTTAGAAAAATCCATCTGAACTAGCACAGGCCTTCGAGCCTCACAAATTGGGAACAAGAAAAATAATTTCCTTTGATTCCGAGAATAACCACCCTGCATCGTTATCAGAGCAGCTACGGCCTTGGAGCAGGTTTCCGTGTGAATACGCAGACAGCTTTCTGCACTCATGGTTTACTTCAGCTCTGGCCTCTTCATGTCAATTAATAGCTGAAGAATAGCAACTGAGCATCTTCCGTCTGAATAAACTGATTTGCTTCTAAATGGGAAGGTGATACAATCCCAGACTATGCAAAAATGTCTCTCCACATTCACAAGCTACCAGAAATGGCTGTGCTTTCGCAAGCTTCTGATACATCTGCAGCATGGAGGGAAGAGCAACAACAGCCAGGAAGGGTTCTTGTGCAGAGCTCAGACCTGGAGTGATCTGGTGTCAATGACAACCACCCACAACGCTTTTAAAAATGAATGTGGAACCAGACATCAGCAACATTTATCATCTCTTCTAAAGTAACATTCTAGAGGAATCTGTAGATGGTTTAAAATATGTGAAAATGTAGACTTTAAACATGATATCATTGCCTTGCGGGTCAAACCAAAGGGCCACCTGTCTCCCAGTTAATCTCCAGCAGTGGCCAGTAGCAAATCTTTGAAGAAAATCACATGAAAGAGGAAATGAACAGATCTTTTCCTTTACATAGTCTCTCAGCCTCCAGAAATCATCAGGTTAAAGATTTCCTAAGCTGAAGGCTGCACTGACTGCTGTGCGTAACAGCTACCGATTTGCACATCCTCCATGAACTTCATCCCTCATGAATTCATTTATACTCTTGTCTTCCGCAACACCTCGCGGCGATGAGCTCTACAGCTTGGAACATGCAAGAGCACTTCCTTCTGGTTTGAAATTGCTACTTGATGGGTCCCCTCTGTCCTTTGGGTGACAGGGAATGATACAGAGAAGGCCAACGGGGAATCAAGTTGAGCTGTCCCAGTCGAGAACTCCTCGTCTCGTTAGTCTCGCGTGCACATCGACACATGGTTATTCTGCACCCACGGCCTACTCTGAGCTACACCTCACTAACAGTTCCTTTCACTCTGTCATTCACGCAATGGCCTCAGTCAAGGAGAAGAACCTGTACAGAAGAAAACCCACTGCACACTTTTTCCTTAACAGTCAGACCAGGGTGTTACACACAAACCACAAAAACACAGTATTTCTCAAAGCCAGAGGCTAAAAGAAATAAAGTTACTAGAATCAGATCTCATTCTTTCAGAAAAAACTGACCCCAAAGGCACCGTCCCCCGACTGAAGGCCATTACCTCCACTACAGCAAAACCCTTGATGGGCCGTGACAGCAGCGGCTGGTTGTCCAGAGAAGTGACGGTGTACATCGACCCAACGTCAGACGCAGACGCTGTTTCTACGTTGTCAAGCGGTTCCCCGAGGCTGCCGAGGCTGCCAAGGCTTCCAGTGCTGCAGTGTGAGAGATCCAGGCTCTCCTGGCTGGAGACAACATGGGGTTCCAGCAGTCCTGGTGGGATGGCCAGTTCCAGTCCCGCTTGAAACTGGTCAACGGAGATATCGCTAACAGTCCGAGATATACCCTGCGAGCTGCAGAGGGAGGCCTGGCTGGTCGAGGCCGAAGCACTAACGCTCATGGCAGGCGTGACGCTGCTGGAGCTGCTGATATCCAGACTGTCTGCGCTACTGGAAACAGTTGGTTTTTCCAGTTCAGGTCTGCATTCTCCTCCTTCTGCTTTGTCCTTGATTTTTTTGGCATCCTCTTCCTGCAAAGGGATGTAGATCTCATCTTTGAAGACCCCACCGTGTGCATTACACGCCTTTCTGATGGCGCTTCGGACAGTGCTCTCCTCCAAGTGAGTCGGAATTCCAGAAATGACCAGCAAGCGGCTGTGAGCCGTGGGACCTACCAGTGCTTGGCACGCGTCCGCTACAGCATCGTTGGTCACACCCAGGCCCTGCGGATCCTTCCTGGTCAGGTGTCTGAGAATTATAAGCAGAGTCAGTGCTCTGTGGAACCACAACATATCCTCAGGCTTGCTTCCTCCTAGACTGAGGATCGCAGCGTCTGTTTCAGCTGCTCTGGATGAAGACCGTTTGCCTGAAGATGATGTCTTTTCCCGCTTCATTTTGACTTTTTTCCTCTTTGACAGCAAACTTGGACTCTGTGGTGTCTGTCCTGGAGAAGATGAAGATGAGGACGAAGAGTCACTAAGATTTGGGGCACTCGTTGAAGACATCACAGTAGTTGTTACGCTCATATTGATAGGTAAGGTTACTTCTGCTACAGCGAGGCAGACTTCCATCAGAGCATGAAAGTACGTTGAAAATCTTCCTTGGTCAGCCCCTCCGACACCAGAGCCACCGCACGCATTTCCAGACACCCAGTTCTGTGTTTCTTCATCATACAACTTGTGAAGTTCTGACTGCAGGGCCATGAGCATGGCGAGGCAGGGATTCAGCTGAAGGGCAATAGAAGATGACAATCCTGCTGGATTTTTTTTCTGCTCCAGACTGTGAATTTTGCGAAGCAACTCGGCCAAGAGATGAAATATTAATTCCTTCACACACGCTGCCATGTCAGTTGTCCAGAGAAAGTTCCCTGTGTGTGGAAGGCAAGACATGGGAGTCAGCAGTGTTTCACTGTTTGTAGCTTTATTACACAAATTGCAACAGTAATATTAAAAAAAGCACAAGAAAAGGTCGTTTAAATGGCTGTATGTCAGCGGTAAGACAGACAGGAGGGCTATTCCAAGAAGTGCATATCAACAGAAAATTTCTGGAGTTGGAAGAAAGCTTCAAGATAATGGAAGAGCTCAGAATACTTTGTGACTACAATTTTTCTTTTTTTCCTAAAACTCTCCATCTGAGCCAGCACATTACTGGTGCTCATTACAAAGCAAATCTGCATTCTCACCTAGGAATTCCACTACTTGCAGGAGAACTGAAGCGGGAATAGTATCCAGTTGTTCATCTTCTGACTTCCCATCCCCATCTGCCAATTTCCAGGTTAAGAGCTGTTCTGTGAAAGCCATTGCCAGGGGGAATTCAAGAGGAAGAGAATGCAAGACCAACACAGCTCCAGGAGGAGGAGAGACTCCTAAGCAAAGAGGTCAAAGAAAATACATATCATGACCCTAGGTATTTGTCAAGTAAAAGTAGTACCATACCTTTTAGGATTTTTTTTTTTAGGCTAAATTTATGCTAAGTGAGAATTTTCTCTATTAAGTACCTTGCCATGGATAAATAGGAGTAGGATGATGTGTGTGATCAGTATTGATAAAAACAGAGATGCTGTAGTTCAGCAAAAGAACTTGAGGAACTCCAGTGGCAAGGTTTAAGAGCTTACTGCAGCTCAGTCACCTTCACTGCTCTAAATAAATCCCACTGTCTCTCAGGCTGGAGGGGTAAAAAGAAAATGAATGATTGCTCTTGCTTGAGAAGCCGGGATGACCTGTGTATTACATATTACCCCACGTATCAAAGGGCCCTACAATCACCTACAAAAGCAAAAAAAAAATCCATCTGAAACACAGCATCTCAACCAGCAACAGCACCAACTTGCACACCGCACAAATATGAAAAACCACTGCTTTGTGAGCTCCTGGAGCCAAAAATCAGAAAAGAACACAGATCCTGACCAGTCTATCAGAACTAAAAACATCTGAGTCAGATGGTTTCCATCTGGTTTATAAAACCATATTTTCTTGGTTAAGAATGATTGCATATTTCTGCTAGGACACATTTCTTAATACCTTGTACAAAAATACTGTCACTAACCAACAGAAGGACTGGTGACAATATGGGAAGCTCCTACACAGAGGCAATGATGCTGCTTGTCTCACTTCTGAGAACACAGTTACAAAGGGTTTTTTAATTAATTTTTTTTCTTACCTAGTTTGATGTGAACCTTGTCCGTAGGTGTGATGACAGAAGGGTACTGATTGGTGGTTGGGGGAGGAGTCAGGCCTGTGTTGGTGGGAGAAGCATCTCGAGGGTAGCACACTGCTTCAATGAGGTTTAGCTGACCATTCCTCTTCACTTTGTGCCCAAGTCCGTAGACAAGCACTCGAGCCCAAGGAGCTTTATACAGGGATGAACTAAGAAGAGACCAGGAATGGTTTGGTTAGACTGTAACTAGCTACTAAAAATCCCAACCCAATCACAGAAAGATTGAACACCCTGCAGTATTTATCCCACCACCCTGAAAATGAGTCTCTAAGAAGAGAAAAAAATCTTTTAAAAAAAAAAAGAGCACCTGCATGCGCAGGGTTTGCAGAGGCTCAGCAGCACATCTTCAATCTTTGCCACTCTTGGCCCCTCAATTACTTACTCTTTGCGGAATCCAGACTGACTTTCCTTACAGGACACAATTACAAATGCAGCCCCAGGAAAATTAACATCCATATTGACCTTGGATTCTGAAATTGGGAATTCTTCAATTCTGGTGCCGTCTGTAACACAGCATTTCATCATGAAAGCCCCCATGCAGCAGCAGCAAACCACCTCCCTCTTCTCTTTGCAAATAACATGCAGCATTGTAAATAACGACATAGTGTGAGGCCACTCTATTTCAGTATGATCCAGAGCACTGCTAGAGTTTTCAGCGTGCCCACTACGATCAGAACAGGAATACAATCCACCCAGAGAAACAACTCAGTGTGATGGACACTATTATGGAAGTTAGAATCACACCAAGCAAGGGCTCCTTAGAAAGAAAAACAACACTGCTCAGAAAACATTCCTAAATATGTTACCTGCAAAAAGGAGCAGATCTGTTTAGTGAGGTCTAACAGACTCTCCTCTCCTTGATGCAGTGTCCGAGTGATGGCGACAGTCAGCCACTCCCTGATGGCCTGTGCGTTGCCCTGGTAGAAGAGGTCTGTGGCAGCACAGTTCTGGGAATGCACGCAGTGCTGCAGGGACTGGGCCAACAGGATAGAACTTGAACTGATTGTTCCATCTGTAATAACAAGTAGGAGAAGACAAATTTGGAGATCACTTCAACATGTTTACGTAGCCTGCAAAACAGACAGTATAAAGGGAAGTTTTTAAACGCTTGGAAGATTACCAGCCTCCACTTCCACTCCTGAGCAAGTGCAAACCTCCTCCCAGGGGTCAGCAGTAGAAAGGATCCTCCTGAGACCAAACCTGCACCCCGGAGATGGCTGGTTGGAGATGCGATGGCGCTCTAAATGCCAGCGGTATTCTTCACCTGCCTTAAGCCAACCCTTGAGGAGGCCCGCCACACATCCACAGAGCTGCGGGTTCACAGCCGCCTCATTTGGCCCCGGGTATCAAGGCAGGCATGTTGAAATCTACAGCACAAGTACGAGGACAAGTGACCAGAAGCGCTTTCTTCTCTAGATGGGGTGAAAGCACCTTGATCTGGTCTCAAGCTTTCCCCACATATGAACAAGATCGCTTTTGGGTGGCCCCAGGGGGGTCACAAGCCCCGACATCTCTTGGCTGTCATTCTGGAGCTAATGGGAGAAGTCAAAGAAAGCCAAAGTGCAGTGCACAGAGGAGCGGGCAATTCACCAAAACACCCGTTTGGAAACGGTATGGATTAGCAGGACTTGAATTAGACATATTTTAAAGAGGAAATTTTACAAGCTTTTATTTAGTTTTATCTTAAAGCCATGCAAAGTAGTGCTGTACTCTGCAAGAGGATCTTCCACAATGCGGCATCTGTTAGGGGTAGCCAAGTTTCCCAGTAACTGGAGGAGGAACAGCAATCTTTCCAC